CGGTGAATGAAATCTGGACGAAATCGGATTTCCAGATTTTTGATTTTGTTGTTGGAAATTTGTAAAAAGAGAAATATCTTATTAGATGATTAGCTGATTGATCTGTCAGAATATATTCTAATTCATGAATCCGACTACGTGGGAAATAATACTGGATACCCAGAACGAACAATCCGACAGTCGTATCTCGTCGGATCCTATCGGAAAAATTATCAAATTTTATCGAATCCGATGGCAATTCGTCGGAATCCTTGGTATCGAATTCCGACAGGAAGTTGTCGGATGTCGGAAAGTGTCGGAAGTGGCCGGGATCTTGTCGGAACTCTGAAAATCCGACACTTTCCAACATCCGACAACTTCCGACTAATTTCCATCGGATCCGATGGTGTGAGATCGGCCTGGGTATTCTGCATTCTTATATAATCCGACAAGTTCCGATACCAGTGATTGATCGGTTTTATCATGGAATCCGGTGTCATTTGAAACCGCAAAATCCGGCCACTTCTTGACATCAGATTCCCCGGAATTCCATCGGAAGCGAACAGATCTTGAGATCGGATCTGACCAGTTCCGAATATATGAATCTAGTCGGAGCTCGATGAATCCGACCGGCGGATATCAAAGGAAAACAGTGGATAGCATCGGAATCCGACAAAAAGTAGCCGACCGAATCCGATTAGCCGTATCTCAACAGATTTGAAACCTATCCGACAGGATCCGACATAGCTATTTCGACCTGGGATACCATGGAATATTTGCACTTCTCGCTCAAATCTCCAATACTAGTGAACTGCATAGAAGTGTCTAGGATTTCCAGGGTTTCAACATCTGTAAATGCTAAATGTCTCATAATTCTCTGAATCTAATAGACACTCTGATGGATTTTGCATTCTGAGGACTACACGACATTTTAAGTGACGAAATCCTTGCAATTCTGGTCTTGCGTTTGCATGAATCAGTGTGTTCATACGAGCCTGGAGAAATTTATGGATTGTCATTGTTGGATGTCTTAGAATTCTTTGAATCTGATAGACACGCTCATGATCCTCACTATTCTGAAAGCTAGACAATGTTTCAAATCATGAAATCCTTGAAATCCTTGCTTAAATTTCGCATGCCTATGGAATCGGCATCTAAGCCATTAAAGGTTCTAGGATTTCAAGGATTCTCACTGTTGGTTGTCTTGGAATTCTTTGAATCTGATACAAACTACCATGACTTTCACCTTTTTGAAGATTACACAATGTTTCCAGTAATGAAATCCTAGGAATCCTTACTAACGCTTGACATGCCTGGAGATTGATATAGGCATCCTCAAGATTTCAAGGGTTTCAAGGATTTAGATTGTTAAATATCTAGCAATTCGTTGCTTCTGATAAACGCCATCATGAAATTCCCTAATTTGAAGGCTACATACAGTTTCAAGCCATGGAATGCTTACTTCAGTCTTCAATTCTAGGGTTTCAGATTTCTGAAAGTCATAGACTTCCGATGATTTCAAGGATTTTTCTGTTACTCTACGTTTCTACAGATGTTCTACAATGTCAGACTATTTCAAAAACATCGAAACACGAAGATTTGAAATAGTTTTCATTGATTATTAATGAATTGAGAATTTTGGATTTTTCAAGGATTCCAAGGTTTCGGAGTCCTTGAAAAATGGCGGCATACCGGGCTCCAGGATTGATATCATTTCATATTATTGATTCGTGAAATTTATTGAAAAATTTTTGGAACAAAAGAAAACATGGTATACAAGAATTTTTTTTTAAAAGTTACTTCTTCATTTTTTATTGGATTCGATGTTGAATTTTTGTACTCGATGATTTCCGTGATCGACGACATAGAGATTACCGTGTCGATCGAATGACAAACCGCTGGGCCCATTCAGTTGATTCGATTGTCCTCCACTTCCATTTCCACCAACAATAACACTTCCTTGTGTGGCTCCTTTCGTCCAACGCATGATTCGATTATTCCATTCATCAGCCACATAGATAGTGCCCAATTCATCGACAACGACTCCTCGAGGATATGACAATTGTGTAAGACGATTTCCTTCTCGTTGACCACCAGCCACGACAATGCCTTGTTTTGCACCTTCTACCCATTTCATCACACGATGATTTCCCCAATCAGACACATATACTGAATTATTTCGATCGACGAATACGTATCGTGGGCCATAGAGTTCATCGAGATGATTTCCACTTCCATTGCCACCTGCAACCACTGTTCCTTGAGATTCTCCTCTTCGATATCGTCTCACTTCAGCTTTTTCATCGTCAACGATATAGAGAGATCCATTCTCGTCCATTGTCAAACCCCAACAATCGATGTTGGAGATGATTGTTTCTCCACTTGTTCCATTTCGACGAGGCCATCGAACTACTCTTCTATTCGAATAGTCGCAGATGATGAGACTATCAGTCTCTTTGTCGACAATCACATCTAATGGGTTAGACAATTTATGAGTTCCACTTCCTTTTCCATTTCCACCTGCAACCACTTGGCCACTTGTCGCATCCCTTTTCCATTCCATAATACGATGATTGCATTGATCAGCAACATAAATTGTTTGATCATCATCCACATATAAACCCCATGGGTTTGAGAGTTGATTGATTCCATTGCCATCTCGATCTCCTCCAGCGACAGTGAGACCATTCTGTTGCCATCGAGCATTTCGATGAATATCAATGGAACTTGCACGTAATGGATGAACTGAAATAGAGAGAGAGAAATGAAAGGATATATGAAAAGAGGAAAGAGAGATAGATTATAGGGAGGAAAAAAAATGAAAAGTTCATTTCAATTTCTTGTGTAATATCTACCATATTATCGTGCTTCGACTAAATTTCAAAAATTATTCTCATTATCAGAAGATATTCTCTTTCATTTTCTTTTTCTTTTTCTGAAAAACATTATAAAATTATCAAAAAAGAAACATTTCTTTTTTTTGTTTTTTGATATTCTCTATTCATTTATTAGAAAATTAACATAAAATTTGAAAAATTAGTTTATTTGTTCGCAACTGTATTTCTACTATCATATTTCAATTAGTGAATTTCATTAATAAAAGAAAAAAACCTTTAGAAAGAAAACATTTTTTTTTCACGTGATCGAAAAATATCTTGAACGATTTTGAATCAATTAAAATTTTTCGTCATTCTTCATTGGCAAGTTATCAATACAAATAATTAAAATAAACATCTTTCTTTCTTTTTTTTGTCTCTTCCAAAGAGAAATACCTCACAGTAATTATTCTTCTACATATAATCAATGTTTCTTTGTTTTTTCTTTTTTGAATCTTATGAAAGATGTATAATCATGAGCATTTCTATCTATCTATCTATCTATCTATTTAAACATAAAAAATATTACAATTTCATATCTTTTCTATTGACTATACATAACACAGAATACGATAATCCAAAAGAAAAACAGAGATACGAATAATATACAATAATATGATTTGTTCGGAATACATAGAATTAAAAAAAAACAGAAAAATCTTCATTCTATTCATAGAAATTTTAATATACAACTTTTTATTTATCATTATAAATATATAACTATGTAGATGTTAACAACTTTATTATAGAATATTCAATTAATTATTTACTATTCTGTTTTCTTCTTTTACTTCAAACGAATTTCGAAGTTTCCTACTACTCGGACAGAGAATACAAACCAAAAAAAAAACAAGCTCATATTTCTACATATATATTTTCAAATTAACTTTTATAATTATTAAATATATTGGAAACTAATTCATTCTTCTTCTTCTTTACATATATATGAAAAGAAATAAATTAGGCAAACAAAAAAAAAATTTCTTAAGACTATATATTTCTATTTTTTTTTTCTGTCTATTCTTTTCATTTTCTTTTCTCTTGTCTTCACATATGTGTTCATCTACAATACTCATTCTATACTCATTGCCAAATTCATTTCTTTCATATATCATTTTTTTTTCTTCAATTATCAATCTATTACTTTAAATACATACTTTTTAAATAATTAGATGAATACACTTCTCTTTTCTACATATTCTCTTATCTAACCAAAAATTATATTATGATAACATACACTTAAAGACAAACAATATATATATATATATACTATATTCTTCTCATCTATTTTTACTTAAAACTTGTTATTATTATTATGCCTTTTCTTTTTTTGCAAACACAAGAAAAAATCATTATTAAAACAAACTCTATCCTTACAATTTCATTTCAACATTTTTGTACGATTCATTCTTTCGAGATATTTTACAACTTTTAACAATATTTAATCTTAATAAAAAATATGTTTTTTTTTCTTTTTTTTTCCCGATAATACAAATTTCACTTGCATAAACTGATCTTAACTAATTATAATTTAAAATTATGATTCCGACTCTAAGTCGTTAATTGACATTATTTCTAGATTATAATATAATATAATATAATAAAAATACGTATGAACAATTTTAAAGATGATCTCAAATTAAAGTTAACACTAATGTTAAATTAGTCATCAAAAAAAATTAGATTTTCGATACTTATTCTCATCTATTTTGTTTTATTTCGACACACATACACACCCCAAAAAAAACATTGCGACAATATCTCTATATAAACTGTACCATGTAAAAAAATATACGACTCTTACAAAACTAAAAATTTTAAAATTCATTTCCTTATCACTCTCAATATACTTTCCATCACTACCATGTCCATATGAACTATTCGAAACGACTATCATACATCTCAGGAATACAACAATTTACAATTTAACAATTTTTATTCTTATCTACTATCATCTACTCGGCAATAGAAAAAAAAAACAACAAGATTTGAAGAAATATTTCATATATTGTCATCAAATGAAATGTACTTTAACATAAAGAAAGTATTCTATGTTGGTATAATATATTATACCAACTTTAATGACGTTGCACTGTCCAAAAGAACAAAAAAAACAACTGGATTTTCATACTTTTCTTCATTCTTATCAATTAGCCATTTTCTTTAACAGAAAAAAAATTCTACGATTATAACAATCCTATCCTTATATATATACACATCAATCACTTTCAAAGAAAATAATAAATAAAAAACAAAAATTCTAATCTCATTAACATCGTACTTTGCAAGACAACACAAAAAAAAAGTCTACGCTGAATTTATGAACTGTTACTTTCATTGAATCTCATTCTTGCAAAGAAAAAGAACCTTAAAATTTAAGAATACCATATTCTCATGTAATAGAATAATGTACTCATTGCTCATGAAAAAAATATTTAGAATTCATGAATTTCTATATTCTCATATACTGTTATGCAGAAAATGATTCAAAAGAAATACGTATATAGAATTTAACGATTGATATTAACATGTACTATTATCAACTATGATAAACAAGTAGAATTTAGGGAAATATGTCTTCTTATTTACTTGCATCTACTAACGGATGAAACATAACTATTCAAGTACTTTCTAATATGTATATGATACTATTATCTAACAAAATAAAAGCATTGCAATTTTTGAAATCATATTCTTACCTATTATGAAATATCTACGTCAAAAAAATAATGTTCGATTTTAACAGTTTGTATCCTTTAGTTACACTATCTACTCAGAGACAAAAAAAAACAACCAAAATTCAACGAAAACTCAGAATTGTGCATTTTTTTACACTTCTATTCATTATCATCTCCTACACATTACAAACAAAAAAAAAGATTTACACTTTAGAAAATTTCTATTATCATATGCTATCTTGTACATAGGAAAAAAAAATCTTTGAATTGAACACTTTCTCTTCTTCATATGCTATCTGTACTGGATACAAATGACTATAATTCAAAAATTTGTATTCTCTTGTATTTCGATGTGCTTGAAGAAAACGATGTGGAATTTAAGGATTATTCAAGATTTTGTATTCTTAATTTTCTCTGAACTTTTGAGTCAAATGGAGTTAAATTTTAAGTATTGATATTCTAATATATATATATCATTAATTAAATATAATGTGTTTTCCTATGACAGTGAAAGAAAAATATAGCTTCAAAAAATTTTTCGTTCATATTCTTTCATATACAATTATATTTTCTGAAAACATTCTAATATGCTAACGACAAAAACCTTTTAGTTATAGAATATGTATATCAATCACAGTTAATAACTATGCTTGTTTTGAGATCATCATCGGACCTCTAGTAAAAATACACAGAAGCCATAATATACACACATAAATTGATAAATGAATGAAGAATAATAAAACAAAGAAATTGATTATTAAATGGATATATAATAAATCATGAAAAGTTTTCTAGACGAAATCTTTGTTGTTTACGTTTTTATTTTTTTTTCTTATCCGTTATAAAGTATTGTAGATGAATACGAAATGATAGCTAAAGATCAGAATTTTATGTTGTTTTCAAGTATGATTTCAGAAGTTTTGTCTGCTTCTCTTTTTTTTTTTTATTCTGTTTGAACTTTTTGTGAGAGAATCTGTGAAACTCTTAAAAAATTAGTTTCAACAGAATGGCTGAGTTAACGGTTCTAAATAATATTTGTTGTACTTTGGTTCTACCTAAAAATATTGCAGATGAATGAAAATCTATAACTAATGATCAAAATTCTGTGCTTTGTCTAGATGTACTTTCAAAAGATTTATTTTTCTTTTACGTAGAATAATGAGACAATCTTTGAAGATGCCTAAATTTGGCTTTATTTGACGAACAAATAAACACTTGCTTCTCCAGTATGTCCTTGTATGATAATGTTAATAAATGTTAGATATATATGGCAACTTTTCGGAATTCTAGTGTGGCGTGATATGATTTGTGATCCAAAGATCGCTTTCTCAAATACAAGCATAAGAACGAAATAATAGGTTAAATGCTCCTACGAAACACAAATGAACAAAAAAAGGTAAATTTTTGTACGGGCTTCATTCACATTACAGTCTGATATATCAACTCAAGTTTAAATATTGGCTTTAGAATCTCAAAAGAAACAATACTGACATGTAAAAAATTCTATTCTCATCAAAAACCAACTCTTTTGCCCTTTTGAAGATTCTCTTATTATTCTCACAAAGAAAAGTTGATACAAAAATTTTCAAGTCATACTCAGAAACAATACAATATTTTAGTGCTTGTACATATTTTAAGAATCTTATAGAATGTTTTCGAATGGATGAAAAATAAGCAATCTTCTTTTTCTTTTATCTAGAAACTTTCGCACTACCTTTTATACAGACATGAATAGATAGATAGATAAATAAACATTTCCCTACCTATTCATCTACACTCATGTAAATCAATCTATATATATAAAGAAGAATGTTTGTTTGTTTGTTTGTTTGTCTGTTCGCTATGCATTTGAAGACCGTACGAGCAAATACTATCAAACTTTCCAGAAATGGTCTTTACACCCAGGGGAAGGTCGACATGTATTTTTTCCCGAAAAAAAACGAATCCTACGAATGCTACAGGCGATCTATGAAACCGACCAATAGGGTTGCAACATTCGGTACTATAGAACTATAACTGAGTTCCACTTCATGAACACACAGGAAACATGGAACTAGAGGTTTTCGAGGGCGCTGAGTTCGAATCTGGGATAGATTTCCCTCCAAATCTAATTGGTTGTTTGGAAACCAATAGGAATTCAGCTCTTAAAAAAATAGAGCCAAACACATATACTTTGAAGGAAATGATGGGGCACAG